TTGCAAGCCACTGATCATCTTGACTTTGTCTTGTGAAAAGAAAACGAGGCAGACGCAGTTTAAGTCGCCATCACTATGGACAAATTCATGTACAAGTCACTGGTGACCCCATATCGAAGGGCTGTGGGAAATCTCTTCATCCAGGGTCACTTAGAGCCATTGTGTTTTTCATCCAATTTTCAGACAACTGGGCTGATAAAGTACTTCAGTGCTCGTTAGATCTTCAGCCGTGATTATAAACATTTAGTGTCTTTTCCTTTGCCACGGGGAGAAATATAGCAATCGCGAGTTTGTTTTTATGACATTTTAATAATGATGATTATAGTGAGATGTACCACCGAACAATCTTTAGATGCTAAACTGATAAATGTGGATACTCTTCAAATTTAAGCATTTGGTTTTATTTTTTTCCATCATTTAAATTGTCCATTCCTTCGCATGAGATAGTTTCTTAGGGGCATACATTAACTGCTTAAAGTCTCAAGACGTCAGAAACACAATGCCCTGAACATTTGCACAGCACTCATCGCGGTTGAGTTTATCCGTTGGGCTGTCACCTTACTGTTTCTGTGCTTTTCGTTTATTATAAATATTCGAAAGCAATCACAAGCTCTCTCTAAAATTCAACAATTTTTGTGTGACTCATAATTGAGAAAACATGTTTCTCCATCACTAAGAAACCAAGAAACCAGTGACAACTCCTGTCGGGATGAAAAGAAGAGCTCAATCGGATATTGGACTGTCTGACCTGATAGCTGGTCGTTGCGCTGAACAGGGCGCTTCCACTCCGCCGGCTGCTAACAAGGCCAAATGCGCTGCACCTTTCCTTCTCCCCGAGGCCCTCGCAGATGATGCCTTTGATCGCACCCAGCTCCTTTTGAACACTGATCAGATGATCTGTGAGCACATTGCGCTGCCCAAAGAAGTAGCTGGGACCGCATGGAGAGAAGATTGGGCTTCCTTTGTCTCACTCAAGGTCCGTCCTTCGCATATAAGTTTTGTGCATAAAA